GAACCTCTTTGGGAAATTTTGCATTAATGCATTAAGTTATTGGGTAAATATTCTACCTTAATTCCCACTATCCACTAGGGTAACATTTTGCTAAATACTGGATGGGTAAAACATAGTCCCTACCCTCGAGGACCTCATAATTTAGTAGACTAGCCAATTCTGAGTGACTGCGCTAATTAAAACCTTTCATCATTATTTCTGAATGGTCAGTCCAGAAACTGGGAGACAGGAGGAAGAAAGGAGCTTCACAAAGCATGGATAGAGATTGCCAACATTGTCATGGGCTCCCAGATGCAGTATGTCCCATGGAATAGAAAAGACCTGGCCTCTCAAACATCTTTTTTCATGAGGCTAAGTTTGGATGTTATACATATATATATATTTTTTATTTTATGTTATTTATTTATTTTTTTTTTGAGACAAAATTTTCCTCTGTCACCCAGGCTGGAATGCAGTGGCACGATCTCAGCTTACCGCAACCTCTACCTCCTGGGTTCAAGTGATTTTCCGCCTCAGTCTCCTGAGTAGCTGGGATTACAGGTGCCCACCACCACACCCAGATAATTTTTGTATTTTTAATAGAGATGAGGTTTCACTATGTTGACTAGGCTGGTCTCGAACTCCTGACTTCAGATAATCTGCTTGCCTTGGTCTCCCCAAGTGCTGGTATTGCAGGCGTGAATCACCACACCCAGCCCTATATGTTTTGTTTCTTAATTAAGCCACATACCTATCTCTCTAGGAATCTCTGAGATGACATCAGTGATATTTTAGAGAGTCACATTGGCTTTCCAGGATGACTCTTTATATGGCAATTTTTGTATTATAGGAAGTCTAGAAAGAAAATTAGGCTATCAGTGGGAACTTGGTCAGGCACTGACTTCAACACTGTTTTAGAGTCCAAAGAAAATACCCTGCCTGGTGGAATAGCAGCCCCTCTGACTTACTAAAGCTCTGGAAGATTCGAGCTTGGAAATGGACTGAGTTACCCTACATGGGATATGCATGAGTGACTTTTTCCTGAGTCTGAGCTATTAGATGTGGGGCCCTTCACTCATGTCCCTAAGAACTATTCAAGGGCCATCCTTTGGTCATTTTGCCATCGTCTATTAACTTTCTTTTTCTTTGTGAGACAGAGTCTCATTCTGACACCCAGGCTGAAGTGTAGAGGTACATTCACAACTCACTGCAGCCTCAACCTTCTGGGCTCAAGCAATCCTCTCCCTACTTGAGTAGCTGGGACTATAGGCATTTGCCACCACCCCCAGCTAATTTTTAAAAATTTTTTGTAGAGACTGGTTCCACTATGTTGCCCAGCTGGTCTCACACTCCTGGGCTCAAATGATTCTCCCACCTTGGCCTCCCGAAGTGCTGGGATTACAGGCATGAGCCACCACACCTGGTCCTGTAATATAAACATTCAACCAGAAACCTTAAACTAGGAAGAAGAGATACTTGATCCTCAAATTAGCCAAGTCAAGCTTATTTGTTCTCTCAGTTTGTTTAGAGAAAGCTCTTGACCCTCAGTTGACAGAAATATCTGGGCAGATTTTCTCTACATTTCTGATTTATTTGCCATATCTTTACTTTTTGCTGCTCTGATTAACCTGGGGAGATTGTGTGGTGAAGTTGTTCCTACAGCATTCAAAATGCAAGGCATGCAACAGAAGACGGATATATTTTAAAGATACAAGGTGCCATTGGCTTCTATTATTTATCTAGTTTTTAACTCACATTTTCATTCACAGTTACAGAGTGCTATTACTATGTGCTTATATGGCTGGATTGTCACTAGGTGGGAGTATATAAGGTGACTAATAGACTAGGCGTCAGGGAACGTAAGCCGGAAGAGAGATCCTGACCCAAACAACTCTGTAGCTTCTGGGGAGTGAGTTTCAGATGTGGTAGAAACACAAGAGAGGAACTAATTCTCTCGGCCAGGAGGACAAGCAAACGTTTCCCAGAGGAACTGAGCCCCTCTCCGGTTCTATCTTTAACAATTAACATGTAGAGACCAGCCTGACCAACATGGTAAAACCTCGTCTCTACTAAAAACACCAAGTTTAGCCAGCCATGGTGGCAGGTACCTGTAATCCCAGCTACCCGGGTGGCTGGGGCAGGAGAATCACTTGAACTCAGGAGACTGAGGTTGCAGTGAGCCGAGATCATGCCATTGCACTACAGGCTGGGCAACAGAGCAAAAACGCTGTCAAAGAGTAAGACCCAAGAAACAAGAGAAAGATACATCCAGTTATTGAAGCCATAGAGGGAAGGAGTTATTCTTTCAAATAATTTTTAAAAGATTTGGCTCTTTAAAACATAGTTTCCTTTTCCTAGGTGGTTTTATTTATTTATTTATTTATTTTGAAATGGGGTTTCACTCTGTCACCCATGCTGGAGTGCAGTGGCACGATCTCGCCTCACTGCAACCTCCACCTCCAGGGTTCAAGCAATTCTCCTGCCTCAGCCTCCCAAGTAGCTGGGATTACAGGTGCCCACCACCACGCCCAGCTAATTTTTATATTTTTAATAGAGACAGAATTTCACCATATTGGCCAGAGTGATCTTGAACTCCTGACTGCAGGTGATCTGCCTGCCTCAGCCTCCCAAAGTGCTGGGATTACAGGCATGAAAGACCATACCCACTCTCCTTTTCCTAGTTTTCTAGCTTTACCTCCTTCTCTCCCTACAGGTTTTAGAGTCAGCTTTCCTGCGCCATAGAGATAACAGAGCTTTTCCAATAATGCATTCAAGCTGTTATTAGGAACATTTATAAGTACTTCTACCAAAAAATGCAATGGCAGATGGCAGCCTCAAAAGATCAATATCCGGCCTACGGAATGGTTCATGCCTGTAATCCCAGCACTTACGGAGGCCAAGGTGGGAGGATCGCTTGAAGCCAGGAGTTCAAGACCAAGCCTAGACAATATAGTGAGACCTCGTTTCTGCAAAAATTAGCCAGGCTTGGTGGTGTCTGCCTGCAGTCCTAGCTACTCGGGAGGCTGTCTTGGAGGAGGTGGAGACTTCAGGAAGCAGGGATCGGGCCTCTGCACTCTAGCCTGTGCAGCAAAGCAAGACCCTGTAAAGTACAATACCTAATTTCCAAGAGAAATATTAACGACTTTGCCCTCTTTTCTTCATTCCCCCAGATCTCTGCCCGAGACGGGTCCGGAACCTGACTCCCGGGTGTCCATGACCCCGGCGGCTGCTTCCCGTCAGCAATGAAAGGGCTATCGGGAAGCCGCAGCCATCACCACGGGGTCACCTGCGACTCGGCCTGTGACTCGCTGTCGCACCACTCTGACCGCAAGCCCTACCTGCTGAGCCCGGTGGAACACCACCCCGCGGACCACCCGTACTACACCCAGCGGAACTCCTTCCAGGCTGAGTGCGTGGGCCCCTTCAGCGACCCGCTGGCCAGCAGCACCTTCCCCCGCAGGCACTACACCTCACAGCAGGAGCTGAAGGACGAGTGCGCCCTGGTGCCGCGCACCCTGGCCACCAAGGCGAACCGCATCCCTGCCAACCTGCTGGACCAGTTTGAGCGGCAGCTGCCGCTCAGCCGCGATGGCTACCACACGCTGCAGTACAAGCGCACGGCCGTGGAGCACCGCAGCGACAGCCCCGGCCGCATCCGCCACCTGGTGCACTCGGTCCAGAAGCTCTTCACCAAGTCGCACTCCCTGGAGGGGCCGTCCAAGGGCAGCGTCAACGGAGGCAAGGCCAGCCCCGAAGAGGCGCAGGCGGTGCGCTATGGCAAGCGCAGCAAGAGTAAGGAGCGGCGCGCGGAGCCCAAGGCCCGGCCCAGCACCTCCCCGGGCTGGTGGAGCTCCGACGACAACCTCGACGGCGACATGTGCATCTACCACGCCCCCTCAGGCGTGATGACCATGGGCAGGTGCCCCGACCGCTCGGCCTCACAGTACTTCATGGAGGCCTACAACACCATCAGTGAGCAGGCAGTGAAGGCCTCCCGGAGCAACAACGACGTTAAGTGCTCCACCTGCGCCAACCTGCCCGTCAGCCTGGACACCCCTCTGCTGAAGAAGAGCGCCTGGTCCTCCACGCTCACAGTGAGCCGCGCCCGGGAGGTGTACCAGAAGGCCTCGGTGAACATGGACCAGGCCATGGTGAAGTCCGAGTCGTGTCAGCAAGAACGCTCCTGCCAGTACTTGCAGGTACCATTTCTGTCAATGATGGAGGCTTACAAGCACTACCTGGCTTGGTTGTGTGGGCATTTCTCCTGGATCTAGTCGTGGCACTACTCTGAATTATCTATTAAGTTATGAGCCTCCTGGTTCTAGTTTTGGCACTACTCTGAATTTTCTATTTTAAGATATGAGACTGTTGGGAAAATGCAAAGGAACAAATGCTACCGACCTCATTGGGTTAACTTAAGATACTAGCTATCCAAGTGCTTTGAAAAGCACTCCTACGTAAAGGCAAGGAGTTATTATGGCATTCCTCTTTTGTCTGAGGGATCAGAGGATGGGAAGGAGAGGAAAGGGAAATCCACAGAGAATTTTAAAATTCAAAAAATAAACAATGATCTTTTGACTTTTGGAAAGAGTTTAATTAGATCTATTCGGGGTTTTGCGGGGTGGTTTTCATTGTGAAATCCTGTCTGAAGCTATATTAGAACACTGTGATGGTCATCACCATCACCATCACCATCCCTAACTAAACCCCCACCTGAGCTTCCACCCCAAAGGTACAGCAAATCAGGAAGACGCCCTGTGCCCAGAGGAGGTGGGGAGCTAGCCAGTTTGGGGACCTGACAAGTACAGCTGCAGAGACCCAGGACAACAGAGAGTAGGAGGAAAAAGGGGAAGGATCAGAGCAGTAAAATACAATCAGTGTCAACGTGTAAATCCCACACACTTACAGAGCCACGGCAGGCTGCTCTTCCCTGCCACTGTCTCCTTGTGTTTTCCTCCAGTTCCCTGAAACCAGATGTTACCTGGATAAAAATATAGGAGAGAGGGTGCTTTCTTCCCTACCTTCTTTCTGTAGTATTGTAATTTTTCCAAAGACACATTTTTCCATAAGAAGAACCCTCATCTTTTCCTTTTTCAGAGTGTCTTTTCTTCTCTGTTATCTCCTGCTAGCCCAATCTTTAAAAAAAAAAAAATTACTGAGCTGTAAAAGTATAACATACCCACTCCCATTTTATACTCCCACCTTAAGAAGAAATGCAAAGAAAAATTCTTCCTTTGAGGATTCCATCTTTTTTGCTCCCTTTGAACTCCTCCTGACAAATCTGGCTCCCTTGGGAATGCCTCCACCAATCCCTGAGAAATCCCAAGCTGGCAGACCCTGTACAAGGGCAGTGCCAGAGCCTGTTCTCAGAGTTCAGAAGAAGCCACCAGGACATGCACAGTTTTCACAAACAACACACAATTATGTAGTCAGTATTTCCCACTGAGGGTGGTATTGCCTAATTTCCCATAAGGTCACTACATGTTAATAAGTTATCAAGAACCATAACAATTTTAGAACTCAATACCTATGTAACAATCCTGCACAATCTGCACATGTACCCCAGAACTTAAAGTAGAATAAAAAACTAAACTAAAATAAAAATTTTAGAACTGAAGTATCACTGAATCCACTTAGCATATGAAAAAGTAGACACAAAGAAAGGTAAATACTTAGTGGGTTAAACCGTGAGCATGTGGCAGAGGTGGAAGGAGAACCCAGTCTCTTAACTTAGAGAAATGGCCATTATGAAGGTTGTAACTGAAAGCTCTAGAAACTCTTTAAGAACATAAAGCTCACCCACCACTGAAAGGAAAGTAATTCGACAAGGATATCTGTCTTGAAAAAAGTAAGAAGTAAAGAGACGAAAGCCCTAGAGTACCACACATTTTGTCTGCAAAGGTTCTAGGACCAGTGGCAAAAACAAAACAAATTGAAAGGAAAAAAAAAAGCCTATACTTAAATAAGTAATGATGAGATTAGATGAGAAGTATCAGAGTAAAGGATGCTGTGTATGGATCTAGCATGAGCCTTTGTTAGTAATGAAATGTTTTCATTGTATTTGCCTAGATGCCTATGTCCTTCCTACCTTAGGTTCACTTTTCTTTTTCAAACCTTTTTGGAGTCAAAATCTCAGGTAATGGTGAAAAGTCAAAGGATAAGGAAAGAAGTAAAGGGATATTAATTGAAAATCTAGTGTGTACCAGATGCTATAGCAAATGTGTTCACATTTCTTATTTCATTTAATCTTTGTAATAATCCTGAGATTACTAAATATAATAATACTCTATTTTTATGAGAAGAAACTGACACTTAGAAATATCAAGTGATTTAAAGCCCCATGATCTGGAGGTTGTACAACTGAGATTTAGGCTCCAGTCTATGTGATGCCAACACCAAGCTCTTTCTAATATGCCCTAGCACAGACCTGAAACAAGGGCATGAAAAATAGTGAGCAAGAAGAAAATATTAAAGTTTTTCAGTAAAATGAGAATGAAATCTTAAAGGCTTAAGTATGGGATTTAGTATAGTAGCATTATTGGATCTCCTACTATAAAGATTTGGAAATTCTATTTTCAAATTATTTGCCTTCTTCAAGCCATTTTTTTAATGAAACATTTGAGGCTTGCAGAAAGGTATAAAGAAAAAAATAAAACACCCATTTATACATCACCCAGCTACAGAACTAAAACATTAATTACAATGGATCACACACATATTTGTGTTAATCCCTTTTACTTCCCTTCCCTTCTTCCCCAGAGTAATAGCTAATCTAACTTTGATACCCAAAGCACCTTTGTTTTTAATTATGAAATTATTGAAAGGCTGAAAACAGTTTAACATATTCTGTCCTACACTGGGCAATAATTAACCAAGCTAGTTCAACCTTTTAAGTATAAACTAAACTCCAAGTTAATTTTTATTAATAGATGTTGAATTTATTAAGTTCCTATTTTATGCAAGGCTTTTAAACTAGGAAAAAATCTATATTTCAATGTGGGGAGGTAGTATATTAGTAAATGAATTAAATGTAAAGTAGTGTACACCTCCCAACCCGTGTGCTGAGGCTGAAGAGATGCTGTAAAGAAAGGGAAGAAAGAACCATACATTCACATGGGGCCAGAGCAGAACAGAAAACACCTCCTGAGAGCTGGGCTTCTGCTCCCTTCTTGCTTCTAGGAAATGAAAAGAGAATCTGCCATCCTGTGCAGGCTCTGCTCAGGAAGATAGGGCTAACCAGCTGCAGCTAGCTCCAAGGGAATAATTTCATTTATAGGCTCATCCTTAGAAGTAAATTTGAAAAAAACAGAGAAGGAGAGAGAGTTTCTTTGGAGTTCCTTTTTTTTTTCTTTTTCAGCTCTATTTGCCTTCATTGCCAACTGATATTGAAGCTGGATTTACAAATGAGTTTAACTTCAATATTAGAGATTTAGTGGGCAAAGCACTATTCTACTAGTTCCAGGAGTGTTCTAGTCCTTATTCGTCGCAAACTAGTAACATGACCTAGAACCATTCTTTCAGCTCTCTGGGCCTTCTTCCTCTGAAAGAAAATGAGGCACTTGGTCTAGAAGGTGTACAATCTCAGTAGGCATTTCAAACTCGTAAATTGCATGTGTCGGGGTACTAATCAGAACTATTCACAAGAGTTGGAAGTCCCGGGACTCTTATTTCAGAGATGCCTACTATATGTTTTTCAGATGTTATCTATATCTCATTTGTTCTTTAAAACTCTAGAGATATTTCACAGTTGAAGAAGCTAAGTTTTTGTAAATTAGGTTAAGTAACTTGCCCAAGGACACACAGCTAATGTCACAACGTGTTGGGTTGAAACTGATTTGTCTGCCTTCAAAGTCTGTATTCATTTACTATGCCCAATCTCTACCCCCTCCAAATACAAAGCAGAGGGAGGAGGCAGTGTATATCAAGTGTATATTATGTGCCAGAAACTGTGTATATCTCATTAAGTACTCAAAACAACTTTGTAGAGTAGTATTTAGTTCTACAGACAACAAAACAGGCACAAATGCCTAAATCATTTGCCCAAGAACACATAAACAGTAAATGGGGGAGCTAGCACTTGATCCCAGATCTGTCCAACTCCATAATATGCTTCAGAAATGGAAATGAGTGCATCTTTTTTATTTTATTACTTGGTGTATTTTGCAGTAAATGTATGTGTGCATTTGACCTCATATGCGTGTGAGAAGTTAAGAGGGCATGGATGTCAAATCAGACTAACAATGAAATGACTGATTACATCTCTAATTTGATTCAAGACTAACAAAGATGAAATTCATAATTATCAATAATAAAGTCTAAATACTAGCAAACTTCTGATTCTCTCTTTGCAGAATTATCACTCAGAATTAGCTTAATTTGGGCCATTGCCATGATTCTATAGAAAATGAGAAGTCTGTAGTTATTTAGCCTCTGCCTGACATTGACTTAGGAATAAAATACTGTGGCTTGAAATCTTTGGAAGTTCCAGTTAATACAGTCAATTGTATTATGAGTGATATATGCTTACTCACAAGCTGTCTGTAGTTAATGAAAAAAAAAGACTCTTCTTTTTCCAATATTGTTATTTTTAAATGTCAAGAATCAGATGTCTGCTGTTTAGAACTATTGTACCGCTGCCAGTGACTGTCTGTATTAGGGCTGGGAGCAGGAACATGGATTTGAAGACATTAAAACTGTTTAATTCTCAGTTGAGATGTGGTTGGCTCTTATACATTTGGAATAAAGCATTTATGGCACATCTCAGGGTAAGTGCTTAATAGTTAATTAAATAAAATAGGAAGAGGTTCAGAGATAGACTAAAAGGTGGTTTTTGTTGTTGTTTGTTTTTGCTTTTAAAAAGCAGAATTCTTGGTTCTTTATGTAAACGTTATGTATTGAGTGACTGACATGTAAAACCATTCAGAAGAGCAAGATTTTAGATTTCCAACTGTTAACCTAAAAGAAAAATCCCTTCAAACCGTGTATTTTGCATTCATCCAGCCGTAGAAACAGGAAAAGGGAAACAAAACGCTCTCTCCCCGGTAGAAGTGGAGAGAGAGAGACAGAGAGAGCGAGAGAGAGAGCAAGACAGACTGAGAAGGAAAGCACTCCCAGAGATGAAATTGTAGGAAAGCAAAATGATCGACCTTTTTAAGGCTGAGTGGGTTTCTTCAGTTTGTGTGCAAGTTTCAAGAAATGGAAGGACTGACCAGGTTTGGGCATAACTCTTTTATTACTTTGTATTTGATAATAGTGTGTTGTTGGTTTGGATGGTTTTTGTGGTAGGGAAAGAAAGGGGTAGTATTTGTGATTTCATTTCTCCTCTAAATGATGGCTAGTAAGACTGAAAGAGCTGACAAACTAATGTATGTACAGATAGTAAAAAAGCAGGTGGAGACATCAGGAACCTACAAATCTGTGTCTCCACAAGGGCTTTTTTAAATCTTTGACACATGATCTCAGATCTGCTAGGTGCTGTTAGAGGACATTATATGGCTGGTGATTGAAATGTGATCGGTTGTTTTCCAGGACCAGGATTCTGAATACTTACTGTTCCTTTGCAAAATTAAAATTTATGGATGATTGCTCTTTTGGGGGATGGGGATCTGTTTAAATAAGGCACTACACAAGATCACTGAGGAAGCATTCATAGCAAGCATGAATCCAGGACCTTTTAAATACAGGTAAAATTATTTTTTCAATAATCTGTTCAAGATCATTTCCACCTTTGCCCAGTGGGAGTTTTCTTTTCCCGGCTGAGTTTTTCCTCCCTCTTGTGTTAGAACAATTTTAAGTCTCCTAATTCAATTAAAACTACTTTACATGCAATTTATGAAAGTGCTGAACAGTTCTGCTAATGACTTTGGCTGCTGGGATGTTTCTTTGCTGCCTTTTTCTAAAATCCCATCCACCACATTCATTGATGATTTTCTTTATTTTTAATTTAAATTGCCTTAATAACCCAGCAAGTGAATGTCAAGGTTCCTGAATGGATTTCCTATTAGGTTTGCACAATCTTCGCCCTGATTTTCACTGATCTTGGTAGAGATGCCCCTCTTCATTCATAGAAAGATGAAATTGCTCCTGCCTCGTGCTAACTTTGAATGTGGAATCAGTGATCAGCAGCAGAGTCCTGT